CTCTCTTGAGCACAAGAGCCTTCTCCCCTTTTGTGGTTTCCAGCAACTGGCATTCAGAAGCTTCCTGCCTCCAACTGTGGAGGGAGAGCATAGCCATCACAGCTAGAAGCTGTTGGTAGCCTTTTAGCTCTATGAACTTGACTCAGAGTTCACTCATTAACTTTCGTTTTGTTATCTTCAAGCTCCTAAAGCCAGCATTGCAATGAGCTGCATCCAGTGGGAAGAACAAACTCCTGAGCAGATACTGAGGATGCATCGTGCCTTGGGAGCAATGGTAATGCAGTGTGTTGCAAAGAAGTTCACTAAAATCCTAGGCGACAAAAGAATTTCAATAGCCTATCAATTATATATAATTAAATGCTGATTTGGGAGGGAATTTCTCCTACCCTTTATTATTCAGCTTTGGAGGAAATGGGTTAACCCCACCACTTACCAGCTGTTCTGGGATTGCAAAATTAAAATTTAAAAAAGCCGGAGGGGGGGAATGCTAGTCGGTTTTTTACTTTTTACGTCGCTGTAGCTTCAAATGAGCAACTCGTTCACCCACAGTTACATATTAGCTTTTTGTTGCTCAGATTCCTTTGAAGTCCTGCTTACCGTAGATTTAAACTGCATGCCTTATTTCCAACAAAGCTACAGGGCTGGCAGGTGAAGGCTGACCTTGATTTTTAAAAGTTGTTTTAAATCTAAAATGCACTCAAATTTCATACACCTTGGGGAAACTAGTTTGCATCTGACCTAGTCTTCTTGTATTTGAAATGCTTCTGCTAATACACATCAGAAAAAAGTGGAAACTAGCCCTAAATTTGTGTTTGTATTGCTGACTGAACATGAAAACAGTTTGACAACTCTGGATTCATTTAGCTGAAATGAGTGTGAACATCTGTGGCTAAGATACCTTACTGTACCTTTTTCAGATGCCTCTGCAAACACTCTGGATGGGTACTACTGTAAAACTCTTGGATTTTGTGGAAGTGGAGGCATTACATGACCACAATGGTATGTACATACATCTCAGCAATTTTGGTTGTTAGCTATGGCACAAAAAGTAGTTAAACATAACACTGGAGGCACCTGTGAAACTGAAGTTATATATCATTCCTTGCCTTTGCTGCGAGTGTTTCAAATTGCTGTGTGGCCTTTTAGCTTGGTGTCATCTTACCTTCTGGCCATAAATGAAGACCCTGCCTTTGATCTCTAAAAACCTTTTATAACCAACAGAAACTAACCTGCAGGGGCAGGGTTCAGCAGAGGCAGTGATTTCTTACCGTGACAACTAAGATCAGCCAAGAGAACCCTGTTTGGGTTGGCCTCCATAAAAAATACGGATGACCTGGGAGTGTAAATCCTTTTGAGTGGCTTCCTGCAAGTTATGCAACCTTCCCTTGGATGTTTACTAAAACCTGAGCTTAAGCAACACTTGGAGCATTGCAAGATATTTTCATTTGGGCTGGTTCTATGTGGCTGATGATACATCGGGCATGCACAACTCCACAACAGCCTGTTGTGGGAAAACTAAGTCTAGAACATGTGTTTTGTGTTCAGATAGGTTAGCAGCTGAAAACGGAACCGTCCCAGGATCAGTGTTCTATCATAAGCAGTTGCAGGCACTGGTGATCCGTTGCAAGGTATGTTTGTATGTACAGTGGTACCTTGAGTTAAGTACTTGATTCGTTCCAGAGGTCCGTTCTTAACCTGAAACTGTTCTTAACCTGAAGCACCACTTTAGCTAATGGGGCCTCCTGCTGCCACCGTGCTGCCGCTGCACGATTTCTGTTCTCATCCTGAAGCAGAGTTCTTAACCCAAGGTACTATTTCTGGGTTAGCAGAGTCTGTAACCTGAAGCGTATGTAATCTGAAGCGTATGTAACCCGAGGTACCACTGTATGTGGTGTTTCACTTTTCTTTCCTCAGATTGCTATAACTAGACTGTTCACAGGCAGCTGCAGTAAGGGGAACAGTTTGCAAATCAAATTTATGTTGAAGTTGCTTTCTTTTACCACTCAGTGGCTTGGAGAATCAAACTATGCAGAGTTCACCAGCATTTCCTAAATCCACCCCCCCTTCCCATTGCATTACAGTAACTTGGGTTTTTAAACATGATTGAGAACTGACAGGATACTGAATTTCATGGATTGTATCCAGTGTTTGTCCTTCTCGGAGTAAACATCTTGTAATTAATGGGCATAATTTTACTTAGTTCCACTGACTTCAATGTGTCTATTCTTGAGTGTGTAAGTCAGTTGGATACAACCCCATGTTTTTTCTGTGTGACTTCAGGACTTGCGGGATGTGCTGAGACCTCTCCAAGACTCAGCTTCACCTTGTTCTTTTCCCCTCCAGGAAGGCTGGGTTGGAGTTAAAGCTGTGGTGCTTAAGAAGAAGCTGACAGCTGCTGACTTCTACAATGGATACTTACATCCTTGGTTCCAGCAGAATTCCAAAATGACTCCTGGGACGTGCAGGTTCCAAACACTCAAGCTAGCCCCAGCGAAAAGGAGTCGTCAAGGAACACCGTTGCATGCTCGCAACACATAGCAATGAAGGCCTGGTACGCTGTCAGAATCAACCAGGTGTTTGTTTATGCTGGCAGGGTTGGAGACATCTCCGCGCCATATCATCTCTGCATCAGAAATTGAGTCTTGGTGTCTCCCTGCGCAGCCATCAATTGAAACAGGGATGGAAGGAACAGGAAGATGTCAAGAGGCGGTGGAGTTTGACTGTTGCTCCTCTATGGGTCTCCCAAACGGTTTTCATTCTGGCTACCCTGAACAGTGTGTTCATCCCCAGTATCTGTAGCCTTGAAATAATCTTTTCAGCTCTGCGAGAGAGATTTATATGGGCATCCTTTCTCTGGCTTTCTAAGTTAACAGTACATTAATCCTTGTACTCAAAAGTGCAGGTTTGTAAAGTTACCTTAGATAACAATGCTACACTTACTGCAATATTGAATGATAAATTATTTTTTATATAAGTTTATCTGAATGATGTGGTCTTCTGTGACTCTTACAGTGTCTGTGACCTACACTCTGATTAGCATAAGAACGTCTGTGTAAAAACAAGTCCCCTGCATTTTTCACATGCTAGGATAATCAAGAAGAAACAAAGCAGCTTTGTGTATTGTTTTGTTTTTCTTCAAACACTGGCTTCCTCACCAATAGCAGGGAACAAGCTTTGTGTTGACAAAGGGTGGTATTTGAGAGTATATCCATTTACATTTCCCTGTAAGAGTGAGGAGTAAAGTGTTGCTTTGGGGACAGTTGCTCCTCAGGGTCTTGGGCTAAGAGAAATCTTTCTCTTACCTGCAACCCTCAAAACCTGTTGCAAAGGGCAGGGGACTGTTGGCAGCACATGTGGGGGCATCTTGAAGGGGTGGGCGGACGCAGAGCCAGAGGGAGTCCAATTGCATGAGTGGAAGTTGACTCATAGCATTGAACACAACTCAGTGTGCCTGCATTCTATGCACTGTGCAGCGCTATAACACCTTACAGTACATAAGTCCTCTCTCCACACACAGTCCACTTGTCATGATGGTGGTTTTTTTTTTACTGTTGTTTCTAACATTCTTGGCGGTGCTGTAGCACCAGCAAGCCAACAGGTGGCACTCTGTGCTTCTGAGCCTAACATACATGGTCAGCCAACATTACTCCTTCAGCTGGAGTAAAAACAGTATCTAAAGGATGCTGTTAGATTAAACTCAAGCAATCCACAGCAGAAATTCAGAATAATAGCAGCAGCCAGCAGGCAGCCTTTGCTAATGAAGTTGCTATTTTTGGGCTGGGAGTCAGCCATATACTTCAAATGCAGGTGGTGCAATTAAAGGTTATCTGGCAGTCATGCATGACAAAACTGCCCCCCAAAATAGACCTTTGTGATAAAGAAAGTGATAGTAAAATGCACCGGAGAGGTAAGACTTGCTTAACGAAACATCATCTAACCTCCCAGCAAACACATCAGAATGGAGCGTTGGATAGACAGATTGTTTGGAAGCATTGGAGCCAACTCATAGGGGCTGAGGTTCCTTCAGGGTCCCCAATAAAATATTTGACGAGGCCAGGCTCCACCAAGTTCACAGGCATTGTCATTCAAATGGTGTGTGCATGCTGTGTTTTGTTATGTGGGGCAGGCCTTACCTGGGGGCCCTCAGCATTTTATTCAAGTTGGCACCCCTGCAATGGAAGTGACCGGAAACTCCTCTCAACTACAGAAGTGATTGCTGTTTCTATTTAAACCCACTTATTCTTCCTCACAAATGGGCATAATATTGACTACTGATTTCATAGAACAGGTGTGGGGAATCTGTAACCCTCTAGTTGTTTGCTAAACTACAACTCCCATCATCTCTAGCCATTTGCTGTGTTGGCTGGCATGGATTGGAGTTGTAGTTCAACAACTGAAGGTTCCCCCACTTCCTGTTGTAGAGGAGCCTTTTTCCTATGAAGGGCTACTGACTTACAGGAAGAGTCAATCAGCTGACCTACAAGTTCCCTAGGCTGGCTAGGTATAGCATGGGCCCAACAATTCTGCTTCAGGCCTCAAAACAAGAGTGATGGGGCACATGTTAACTCTTGATCCATAATATTTCCTGTTTCTATTTTAGGGAAGTAATGTAAGACTTGTGGGCCAAACTCATCCCTACAGACTTGTCCCCTGTGCTCTATTTAGTTAAGCACAATTTGTGCTTAACTGGCACAGGCTTCTTTGACTAGAGCTGGGGAAATTCTAGGCTGAAATCACTAAGCCACAGAGCTCACAGGGTGACCTTGAGCCATTTGCTGTCTCTTGGCCTCCCTCATAGGATTGTTGTAAGTACTGGCGGGGGGGGGGTCGGGTCACAGAAGAGCCCATACATGCTGCTTTGATTTCCTTGGAGGACGTGTGGGGTGAAAATGTAGTGAATACATTTACGTAATTGGCATTTCTGTGTTCTGCAAACAAGGGAAGAAGTTCGCAAGAGCAGTATGGCAGGAATGAAAACGCACACACAGTTGCAGAGCAAATACAGAAATAAATATCATTGTTCACATTTACAGAGTCTTACAGTTACTGTAGATTCAATATGAAGGAATAGCTTCCTTTTTATTTATCATTTGTTAATGGGGCTTCCAAAGCCACTTATCAGAAAAAGAATTTATGTACATTTTTTTTAAATATTCGATATAGCTTCTTCCACCCTTGCAGAGAACATTTTTTTACAGTTTTAAACATTCTTCTGAAAAACAAGATCATAATTACATAGATTAGGTGTTAACTCTTCAGCTGCATTTGGTCAGAGACTCTTAAAATGCAACCTTCCTCAAAGAGGGAATCTTCAGTACTGGTATTGATTAAATGCAGTAAGTTCTAAAACCTCAAAGAAAGGATTTGCCGGTGATGCAGAATTTGGGCTGAGGCTAGCTTACCTGCAAATATTCATTCCCTTTTTAAGAGGTATGCAAAATTTAATCCAGGTGGAAGGAAGTGGTGGGGGGATTGGAGCACATCAGTGAGAGAAGGGCCTTCTTGTTGGTGCATCTTGGTCTGTCCTGCATACACTCTCTTCCTTTTTTATTATTTATTTGTTGAATTTATATACCGTCCTATACCCGGAGGTCTCTTCAGACAGTACTTCACTGAGAGGTGCTACTGCTTAAGCCAGGGACAGCCAGTGTGGTTTTATCAGATGTACTAATCAAGTGCTTGCTATTTATCTTGTTAAGTATTTCACTGCATTCCTAGGATGAGATCTGAATGTTAGTAAAAGGTGTCGAAGGACTCAAGGAACTTCATATGGGTAGAGGCTTCCCCACATGAATTAGTGTTTACTATCGTCCATGTGATGCTGTCCCCAGAATTTACGTGTGTGCGCGCTGGCAAAGACCCTCTGAGCCCCATGGAGCTGTTGGATCGTGTTGGATTATAAGATCTTATTGGGTTCTTTGAGGAACTCTGACAAAGGGGGTGCCTTTCCCCCTAATCTGACCAGCACGGCTTTCGCTTGACCTTCTCACCCCTACCCTCCCTCTAAGAGGGCTCACCGGGTACCTGTTCGGCACATTGCGCAGGGATTGGAACAAGCTTTGCTGTTGTGCATCTCTCTCTTGACAATTGAAAGTGAGTGCTATGCCCACGTTGGTCTTCATAATTCTTGAGGAACCATCAGATGTTCCATCGAAGCACCTTCCCAGAGCTATCTCCTTGGCTGTCCTGGGATCCTGGTCTGTAACTGTGTAGATCCCATAGTTGTGACCAAGAGGGTCAAGAGGCGCCAACATGGTGTACTGACTGGAGTCGTTGTTGACCGCAACGGGAAGGTGGTTCACCAGATACTCATGAAGTGTGCTGCTGACACTCTCCCGGTAGCAGTTCCCTTGTGGGATGATTTTCACCAGTGTCCGGTCAACACGTTCCTGGTCATACAACATGCCGCTGCACTTGAATTCCAGGCACGCTGCTGAAATGTTGGGTTGCTCTTGGTCACGGATGCTACGGACATCTCTGATGCCATACAGCTGGCCAACTGTACGTGGGTGCGTGCCCCCCATGTTGCGAGACCTCACATTCACCTCCACGGGCCCGTTGATCCTCACCTTGACGTAGCAAGCCCTAAATTCCATCGGTTTAGGCCACCAGGCCAAGTAGTCTTCTGTCCAGTTCATGGGGTCGTCCTCGTTGAAAGGAACTGTGTTGTAGTCATACCTGTCTCCTTCTACCCTGTAAAACCTAAAGTGAGCGGCACTATGTGGAGCCATTTCACATTCTCGAAGTTTCTCGTAAGGGTATATGGGGCCGTTGCTCTCTTCAGCAGCGTTTGGAGTGGGCTTCGCCACGCTGATGCTGAAAGCGGTCTTCTTCACGTTACGATCCACGTGGTCCGTCCGCCGGTACTTCAGCTTATTGAGATACAGCTGTGGGACTCCAACAGCAGTAGGACTAAGCCTTGGAGATGAGGGAACAGCTTCAAGCTCCTCCCCTCCAAGGCTCGCCATGACGTAAGCGCTGTAGGCATCTGGGTTTTGGTCGTCGCAGAAAGCGGGCACGCAAACGCCGTTGGAGCCAGTGACAGCGCTGTCAAAACGGCCCCATGCTCTAGGATTGGTCGAGTAACCTGGTGTGGGCTCCATGTTGATAACGGAAACCACCACCCCTGTAACTTGTTCACTGGGCATGTACCTTTCGCTTCTGTAAGTGCGCACCTTGATATAGCACCGCCTGCTCTCTGGGACGTCAAGGTTGAAAAGCCTCCTTTCCCTTATCTCCATGTTGCCTACCAGAAATGTCCGTTCTTCTCGCTTGTTGCGCCTTCTCTGGTCAAGCTGGAAGTCTCCTTCTTCTTCCCATAAGCCTGTCTGGGGGTTCAGAGACCAGAGCTTCATTCCCTTCAGATGTTCTGGCATCCTTACCTGAGCGGAGTCTAGGTGGACTTTCACTTTCCCTGCATTGAGGGTTTCGGCGGAGGTTTCATCCGTGAAATCCATGGAAAACATGCCATACGTCCGCAGAGGGAGCATGTCGCCTTCGTCGTCTACAAAGTTCAAGTCGCTTTGTGCTATGGCTGCACTAGAGACATTCCTTGGGTCCAAGAAGGTCACACTGGCTTTCACCTTCCCAGCATAGAGTTCTCCGTTCTGTCTATAGAACGTATTGGGGGGAATTTCCAGTTCGGCTATCGGGTCGTCTCCCTCCATAACTCCCAGAGGTATCACACTGGTCTCTGTCGACTCCAGCGTGACAGGCGGATTCTTCCTTAACATCTTGATCTCGTGGAAGACGGTCCCGCCGTTTTTGTTGAAAGGCAGCACCTTGGTTGTGTTCACAAACTTCTGAAGGCGATCGACGAACGTGAGGACCAGCCTCTCTGTGTTGGGTGCCACTTGAATGGAGAAGGTTCCCTTATAGCCGGTCATGCTCACCCTGTTATTCCCCATGTATATATGGCCAAACCTCATGGGCTCTTGCGTGTCAGAAGCCACGGCTCTTCCTCGCACCGTCACCTTGGCTTCAACGCACTTCTGACAGCCACACCTCACATTCACTTTGATGGGAAGTGTGTACCCGGAACAGGTTAATTCTCGTGTCTCCATTCTGGAGACCCCACAGCAGTAAGCGGCAACATCTTTGCAGCGGAGGCCGTTATCCAACATCCCAAAGCAGGCACTGGATGGGCATCTGCCAACGTCATAGTAGAAGGAGCCTGTTGAGTTTTGGAAGCAGTCGTGTGGCAGCCGGATGAGATAGCTCTCAGGCCTTGGGTTGCAAGGAGCTTCATTCTTTGCTGTTGAAATAGATTTCATATGTTAGTTTCTTGTGCAGCCATTTCTGTGAGAGTTCAGGGTCTTCCCTTATGCAGGAATGTTGTTCAAGCCAAAAAGTGAGAGTTCTGAACCCATGTAACTAAGGGCCGAATAACAGGATACTAGTGAGATGGGTTTCCATTGAGTGAAGAACTTTTCTCTGGAAAGTAGCTAGCAATGGGGGAGAGTCATCAAATTGTAACGTTGGAAGGGACCCCAAAGGTCATTTAATCCAACCCTCTGCAATGCAGGAATTTGCAGCTGCAATCCATATGGGGATCAAACCTTGGCGTTATCAGCACCGCATTCTTACCAACAGAGCTAAGCTGGCGAAATTCAATTCAGTTTGCATTTAAAGGCAAATCTGTGCAATTCACGCTTTCCAAACAATAAGCAAACTCGAACACAGCACTCCTTCAAAAGTCACGCTTTTCTGAAATTTTCAGTTCTCTAGCCACGTAATGTGTACAAAAAAATGCACCAGCTAGGGAAAAGTGTGCATAACAATCACACATTTGTCAAAACAGCACATCGTAACACACTATATATTAGGCAAATTGCATACAAAAATGTGTGCATTAGGAAAAAGCCGCATAAAAATGATGGATTTTCATGAGCTTGCTGTCGTTGTTTTCAAGCAAACTAATGTGGGAATGTTGGAGAATTGAACTTAAGGTTGGGAAAATGAGAAACTGAAATTTGACAGATTCGCCAATCCTTGCAAGAAGCCAAATGGCATGAGAGATGGGGGGGGGGCTTTTTAAATTTTCCTATGTAATTAGCAGCCATGGGGGGCCCCCAGCCTAGCACTAAAGATTAAGACCCCGCCCCCATACCTCCCAAACCAGGCTCCCAATCCAAGTTGAGTCTCCTGTGCTGGCAATTTATAAGAAGAAGAGGAATCCTGCACTCAAACCGTGTGATTAACATGTGTATAGATAAATCACCATACGTTGTCTAGACTGATTCCTGGACATCATAGATGGAGAGAACAGCTGGCCCATCATGAGTGCAGCTTCGCAGCCAGATTACAAAGGGGGCACCTGCTTCAGGTCTGTTTGCCATGGGGCCTAGCTGCTGTGGCACCATAGAACTCCAGCTTGCCTCCTTCCCTCCTGTTTCTAAATGTTTCATTTGTTCCAAGTTCAGCTAAGCAACAGTTTTTACCCTATGGATGCCAGGTATTAAATACAGGCAGAATATTTGCAGTTGCATTTCAGATACCGTTTTTCTTTTTTTAAAAAATCTGGTGCGTTTTGAGATGGCACTACTTTGTTTTTTGCAAAACAGTTGCCTGCTAAAAAATAAATAGATGCCAAAATACATTTTAAAAAAATCTTGTTTAGGATATGCATTTGGAAATGCACACACTAAGAGAAAATAGTGTTGTATAGATTTTTTAAAAATCGGCAACGTGTGAAAGAGGGAATTGAACAGACTTCGGAATGAACATATGCGAAATCAACACAAACTAGAAATCCACCCATCCTTGCTTGCCTCATGAAGGCAATTTCCGTTGCTTGAATTAATTAATTTATCTCATAAAATGTATATACAGTGGTACCATGGTAGTCAAACATTCGAAGCTCCTGCAGCCAATCGGAAGCTGCGCCTTGGTTTTCAAACCGTTTCGAGAGTCGAACGGACTCCCAGAGCGGTTTAAATTTGAGAACCAAGGTACAACTGTACTGCTTAATTGGAGTGGGGGAGGGACCCTCCAAGCGGTCCAGTCCCACTTCCACTCTGTGGTGTGAGTGTGCACTGGAACTGCTCCACTTGCTTCCATATACTATAAGTAAGGAATAGGGAAGATTTGAAGTCCACCACCACTTCTGCCTCCCTGCCCCTCCAAAAATGGCTTCTTACCTCTTAGAGAAAGTGTGGCTGCTCGGGACTTCACAGATCCTGCATCATTGCTCGTCTTGCAATAATACTCTCCAGCTTGGTCCATTTTCAAGTTCTTTATCACCAGGTTGCTTTTGTACTTATAAAGCGAAGGGTCTAGCAAGGTTTCGTTGTGGAACCTGTAGTATTTTCAGAAAGGGAAGACTCAAAGCTTAGAATCAAAGAGATATTTTTTTTGTTAAGTTGTGGGTGAACATATCAGATGACACAGTGATTCTTCAAACAGCTCTTGTTTATTCACAGGCCAGAACAGAACTGAACTGAAGGCTTCAGCCAGCCTGCTTATATAGAGCTCCACTAGAATGCAACAGTAACCATTTTCTGTAACTATCCAATCACTGAATGTCACTTTAAATCCCTTATTTGCATATGTGGACCTGAACTATCTACAGTATCCCCCTGCTGGCCCAGGGTGAGAACTTCAGTACCTAACATTTTTCTACCTCTCTTTGCTTTGTGGATTTTCCAGGTCTGCTGTCTTGATGATTTCCCTTTCCCCACCCTGGCAATGGAAAGCTAATGGGAGATCTGTGATAAAAGTTTATCGAATCAATAGCAGCCTCGTACTCGGCGTTGCTCAGGAATTCTAAGAAACCCAAAAGATCAGTGCAGTTTTGAAAGGTCGGGTCTGCCATTGTGATTCAAAATGGCGTCCAATTGCATCCAAACATAAAACGCTGCTTCCTGATCTGAGGAACCATTGTGCAACATTTGGTTAGGGTGTCTTAAGCAATGTCCCAATGAATAGCGAACAAACAAACAACGTTCCAAAATATATAGTAGATAAATAATGTGAAGAAATTAGCAGTATACCTCTAAGAACCAAGTGTTTGGGACAAACAAACAGATGATGGGTTTATCACCCAGACTCCTCCCTCCATCAGTTGTCACCTGGCAGCAGTCATTCCATCAGGCAGCAGCAGATGCATGAAGAGAAAGAAGCAGGACTGCTCCATCAGCACAGCAACTTCTGTTGCCTCCTCTCCCTGAACTTTTTCATCCCAGCTGGACATCAGAACAATTTGTAACCTTTCAACTTGTAGATAAGTTTGCCTATCTCTTCCTCCCTCCCAATCCATTTTCCTTTTGCTCTGTGTTTTTGTTTTTTTGTAAGCCTTTTAACTGACTTGCAAGCCACTCTGCAAGTCAGTCTCTCTCTCTCTCTCTTTTTGCTGAAGAGCGGGATTAAAAATTGTCATTGTCAATAAATATTGTGGTTGGTATTCAGCTAGGCTTTACTCAGACTAAACCCATTGAAATGAACTGAACTGAGTTTGTTGTTTAGTCGTTTAGTCGTGTCCGACTCTTCGTAACCCCATGGACCAGAGCATGCCAGGCACTCCTGTCTTCCACTGCCTCCCGCAGTTTGGTCAAACTCATGCTGGTAGCTTCGAGAAAACTATCCAACCATCTCATCCTCTGTCGTCCCCTTCTCCTTGTGCCCTCCATCTTTCCCAACATCAGGGTCTTTTCCAGGGAATCTTCTCGGCCAAAGTATTGGAGCCTCAGCTTCATGATCTGTCCTTCCAGTCAGCACTCAGGGCTGATTTCCTTCAGAATGGAGAGGTTTGATCTTCTTGCAGTCCATGGGACTCTCAAGAGTCTCCTACAGCATCACAATTCAAAAGCATCAATTCTTCGACGATCAGCCTTCTTGATGGTCCAGCTCTCACTTCCATACATCACTACTGGGAAAACCATGGCTTTAACTATACGGACCTTTGTTGGCAAGGTGATGTCTCTGCTTTTTAAGATGCTGTCTAGGTCTGCCATCGCCTTTCTCCCAAGGAGCAGGCATCTTTTAATTTCGTGACTGCTGTCACAATCTGCAGTGATCACGGAGCCTAAGAAAGTAAAATATCCCACTGCCTCCATTTCTTCCCCTTCTATTTGCCAGGAGGTGATGGGCCCAGTGGCCATGATCTTCGTTTCAACCAATTTTAGTGGTCTACGCTGATTAGATCTTGGTTGAACACCACCCTATTTAAAGAATTGTTTATTCTTGTGCTATTAGGAGGCTCCATATGTTCTGGGCTCACAATTTCCCCCCTCCAAAAGCTTTCCCATCTGCAATTTTCCACATGGGCAATTACTTTTATAACTACACACGTCAGAAGCACCAGGGCGGGTAGCAGCTAATGTTGATTTTGGGACAGAAAGCATCCCTCCTTTTGCAGGTTGCTTTGTGTTCCTTTAACAGCCCCAAAACCATGTTGGGGAGTCACAACATTCAATTCCATGTAATGTAAAAGGTGCCGCTTCACGTGGTTACATTTGCTGCTTTAGAACAAAATTAATGTCAGTGGGAGCTTAATGAAATAAAGACTGTGGCATTAGTGTAATGACTTAATTATAGCTTTATGCAGTTTTTATAACCTATTAAGGAACACACTTTGCCTGTGTGAACTTTAAGGACTTACCAAAAGTATCGGTCAGGTACCGGGTCTCCAACAGCCTGACAACAGAAAGAAACACTTTGTCCCTCTCTCCTGGCTTTGCTCTCGGGATGCGTCACCATGTACGGTTTTTCTGGGGGCAGAAAATATTCCTCACTGAGTTGGCTTACATAGCTGGATTTACCATTTCCTGTGTTTGATCCAGACCTGGAGAACCTCAGGCCTGCCGGCCTAATTAAACCCACAAGGCCATTTCCTCCCAAACTACAGCCACCTGCTCCACCCTTGATGTCATATGTGAGCTCAGGTGTGTGGCAGGTAACAAGAGTGTGGCTCCCATCCCTTTGAACAGTTTGCACCGAAGTTGCTTTGTTTACCTGCTCTTTCCAAGTGGATGTGGACTGATGAGGAACGTCCGGAACTCTCGGGGACGATGACCAAAGCTGTTTTGTAATTGGGCTTTTTGATCTGCAAGGCGGTTTTGCCGTCAAGGCACACGCCTGGAACCTGAAACTCCCCATTGCTGTCAGTCACTGTCAATAGTTTTGTCGGCTTGGTTTGCAAGGAGATGGCCGCACCGTCTGCAGGGCCACCACCTTGCAAGGAGACTTTGCCACGAAGCAGGTGTTCCTCACACATGCAGGTGTCACATTCGGCATTCACGTGGCCCATGGAGCAGGTCATGTTGCAAACTGAGGGATGGAGAAAACAGCCGGTTATGACACATCACATCATTTTTTTATTTGACTACGTACACACAGCTTGCACACAGAACACAGTACTCCCCAAAGAATGCTGGGAACTGTAGTTTGTTAAGGCTGCTTGGCATTGCAGCTCTGTGAGGGGTGAACTACAGCTCCCAAGATTCTTTGGGGGGACCGCATGTGCTTTAAATGTATGGTGTGTACATGGTCTTCTCTGAAACCAGCACAATTAAGGGTTGTATCCAATAAAGTTACAGACCTACTTAAATTTATGGATCTAAGTGTGCATTAATTCCAGTAAGTCTACTCTAAGTATGACTGGTGTTGGAGACAACCCCAAAAAAGGGAAGAAAATAATTATCCTAATAAACAGATTTTTACATGCAGTTCTCTAACTAATGTACACATTTTTGCAAGGATTGTAAAAATGTGTTTTACTAATGTGTTCATTTTTACACACACTTTCCGCTAATATTTGCATTTTATGCCATGAGTGCTGGAAGGAAGACTGCTCCCTGCTGCAGGTCCCATTTTCACCTGGCCTAGGGGGCGGAGCCCAGACTCACCTTGAACAGCTAAAAGAGGCTCCTGGTAGGCCGGAGGGACAATGCTGGAACAACTCTAGGGTTGGGGCAACTGGCTAAAATGTTATAAATAGTTCTAATTTTGGTTCCTCTTTTGTTTTTGTCAGATTGGTGTTGGTTAAATGTTTAGTTGAGGTTGTGGTTATTTTAATTTGGGTATAACTGTAAACTGTTTGTTATTATTGTTATATTGATTTCTATTGATTTATTGGTTTGTTTGTTGTATAGTATATTTTGTTCTTTAATGTTTGATTAAAGAACATTTAATGTTCTTTAATGTTTGATATTTTGTTCTTTAATGTTCTTTAATGTTTTGTTGTGTTTTTATATATGTTGTAAGTCACCCAGAGTGGTTGGGGAAACCCAGCCAGATGGGTGGGATACAAATTTCATAACAATAATAATAGCATCAAAATTGTTGTTGTTGTTGTAAACAGTCACTGGAGAACCACACTGTAAAATTCAGACAAGTGTGAATTTTGGGTGGCTGTATTTCTGTTCTCATATTGTTTGAGAAAGTGAGAATTTGATATATTCCCCTTTAAACATGAACTGAATTAAATTTTTCTCCCATCCCTAGACAAAGCTGAAAGGACCACAGTCACCACCAGCCTTTCCTCCAAAATCCACAGTTAGGCAATGCCTAACTGTGGCAAATTCAGACGTGCAGGGTCCTTCCATGACAAACACAGCCATACCTCTTCACAGCCATGCCCCCTTCCAAGACTATACAAAATTATGAGAATATACAATATGGCTATAATTCTACAATAATAATATTTGTTGCATTACAACAATCAATGCAGATCTCCATTGGTTGCATTTCAGCAAGATCTATTTTCTGTGGACATAACGTGGGCAAATGATTTGGAGTCCTCCAATATATTCTTTCTGACTGACTTATTTATGTTTCCTTGAAGTTCCATTGTATATAATAGAACTTGCACACCATTCCCTTGAAACAGAAGCACCTTGTGTTTTCATTGTTCATAAATGCTTAGCTTTGGAACATACAGAACAATGGCTCCTCAGTGATCTTACCACTCTCTTTCTCCAGAGTGACCCTTGGAGCCAGTCCTCAATGGCTGACTCACCTCCTTTCACTCTGATTGGCTCCAATCTGCAGAAAGGGTGAGAAGACTTCATTTCACTGGCCAAGAAGCTCCCCTTTCGTGCTGATTGGTTGACCCCAGTATGCTGGAGGGAGGGACCCTTCTGGGACCCAGTTGCAGAAATAGCAATGGGTCTTCAATCCCAGACTACAACACCTCTTGTTGGTTAGGGACCAACCAAACTCTCACAAAATTGTGACAAGCTTTTGAGTTCTCTTCATCAAGCAAGGTGCTAGACAAGGCATTGTGGGGGCGAGAGTTTGAGGTATTGGGGGGGGTAGTATGCAAGTAGAGTTGACCCATAACACAGTCTTAGAATTTTATGGGGGCACCTGAGCAAGGAGGTCCAGGACAGCGTCGCCCTTCCTCGCTCACTTCTTTGCAGTGTGGCTCCTGAAGGCTTTCCGCGAGGCAGGTCCTGGTCCGAGTCTGGACACCGTCCTGTTCACATTTTCCAGAACATTCGCTCCACGTTGACCACGAAGACCATAACATTTTGGAATCTTGAGGTAAGGAGTCTGGCAACAAGATTGTCGCTGTGTTACTGAGGTCTGGCCTCATGCCTCCAAAATAAAACAATTGGGGCCTATCTCTTACAGTGATTTCTTTCTTTTTTAAAATGAGTGCTTTTGGTGAATAATAGAAGCAGCCTTCTTTACCTCATCTTCTTGAGAATATCTTGGCCATGAATCTTCCCAAGGAAGACTTTCTCCTTAGCCTTATTTGGGCAAAACCTGCTGTGCAAAGTGTTAAGTTGTGGGTGAACATATCAGACGACACAGCGATTCTTCAAACAGCTCTTGTTTATTCACAGGCCAGAACAGAACTGAACTGAAGGGTTCAGCCAGCCTGCTTATATAGAGCTCCACTAGAACGCAACAGTAACCAGTTTCTGTAACTATCCAATCACTGAACGTCACTTTCAATTCCTTATTTGCATATGTGGACCTGAACTATCTACATTATCCCTCTGCTGGCCTAGGGTGAGAACTTCAGTACATAACACAAAGACTCTCACTAGGAAATCTCCCAGTGATGCCCACCCACTTGGGTGGCTTTAAAATGGGCGCATTTAAAGTGCAGTCAAACCATCAATTCATGTTTTGCTAGACAGGCACATGATAGGAGCTGAAGCTCACAGAGTTTTCCTGTAAGTTTGCTAGAGAGAACTCTGTGCCTTGAGCTATACATATTTTCCTACCTGCTTGGGTACATCATCTTTTTTGTCATTTTCCACCAAGCCAGAAATTTGAGAACATCTGCAATGTTCAGACACCATCTTAAGCTAGGCTAAAGTATGTCTTTCTAACAGAATTACCATTTTAAGCCTGAACAAAGCTGCTGTATCTGTTACTCTCCAACAAGCATTCTGAGTGAGTAAATGTTGTTTTTACCTTTTTACAAGACTGTTTGTGCAATTATTGTTTTAAGGGGGAAATACTAGGAGAATCCAGTCTGCCTTAAAGCATCCTGGATTGCTTAAACTAAAAGTCTAAAACTAGCCTATCTTTGCTTCCCTTTGAAGTTGCAAAGGGATGACACTCTGCTGAACACACAAAAGTGAGGAAGGAAGGATAATATCTAATAAATATAGCCCCTCCTAGCATCTATTCATGGATGCGGGTGGTGCTTTGGGTTAGTCCACAGAGCCTAGGACTTGCCGATCAGAAGGTCGGCGGTTCGAACGGGATGAGCGCCTGTTGCTCGGTCCCTGCTCCTGCCCACCTAGCAGTTTGAAAGCACGTCAAAGTGCAAGTAGATAAATAGGTACCACTCCGGCGGGAAGGTAAACGGTGTTTCCGTGCTCTGCTCTGGTTCGCCAGAAGTGGCTTCGTCATGCTGGCCACATGACCCGGAAGCTGTACTCCAGCTCCCTCAGCCAATAAAGTGAGATGAGCGCCGCAACCCCAGAGTCGGCCACGACTGGACCTAATGGTCAGGGATCCCTTTACCTTTTAGCATCTATTCACACCCCAACCTAAAAGAGAATTAGGCAAATTCCTGGAGGGTAAGGCTAATGGTGGCTAAGCTCTGCCTCTACTGTTGAATACCAGTTGTTTGGAATCACAAGTGGGGAGAATGATGTTGCAGCCAGTTCCTGCTCTGGGCCTCTGGTTGGTCACTGTGAGAACAGGATGTTGGACTACATGGACGTCTAGCCTGATCGTGACCAGCCCTTCTTATCTGGTGAGCACTTACCTCTGGGGCACAGGAAACGCACAGCATAATTCAAGCATGTTTGCCCTGCAGGCTGCTCCTTGTTCAGGCACCAGAATCCCTCCTGAGCATTGGAGTGAACCACCTGGCCTGTGCTGGTGGCAGGGATCCAGTCTGTCGTTCGGGCTTCGACGCGGATGGGCCTGGGACACAACCTGTCCCGATAGTAGAAGCGGATGGCATCTGTGCGCTCGTAATCCCCATTGCCTCCAGGGTGGTCAATGTTAAACCAAGTGGTCCATCTCACATTGCCTGGATAACAGAGAAGGATGCAGGGTGCCTCTCATGTACCTGGAAACCTTCTTGTCTTCCATCAGTTTTATTGTTTAGAATTAACAAACCCCCTAGCTTAGCATGAGTATTAAGATGGAAAACATGATTTGGAAAAGACACTGATGGGAGGGCCATAGCTAAGTGCTGAGACATCTGCCTTGCAGGCAGAAGCTCCTCATCTTTGGCTGAGTTCCTTGCATCACCAGGTATGTCGCCTGGGAATGTCTTCTGCCTGAGGCCCTGGTCACTGCCAGTCAGTGTAGATAATGTGGAGCCAGATGGACCTATAGTCTCTTAAATGAGGTTTCATATGACACAGCCTTGCAGGATCCCATCTAATTCCAAAAAGCTGTTTTTAGCTAGTATGTATATAATTCAGTTCTATTTTAATTTGTCTCCTCCTTCTCTCTTCACCCCTTTGATTGGTTAACTGTCTACTGAGCTTTCATTTTCTATTTTCTTAATCCAATGTAAACTGGAAAGTTTGCAGGGAAAGGCTCAGTGTTAGAGCATCTGCTTTGCATGCAGAAGGTCCCAGGTTCCATTTCTGACCTCTCCAGACAGGGCTGGGAATGTCCTCTGCCTGAAATCCTGTAGAACCACTGCTAGTCAGTGCAGACAATACTCAGCTAGATGGACCGATGGCCAGGCTTCATAAGGCAGCTTGCTCGGTTCCTCCACTTGCTCTTAGACATATTCAGAATCACTTTACACAGTGAAGGTGGTGTTGTATACGGACGAAGAGACTGATCTGTGGATCAGAAAGTCCCTGGTTTGAACCTCGCTTTTGCCATAGACCCTGTTGGTAAGCCACTCTCTTTCACTCTCTGCCCCGCAATCCTCAATTTTTATTTTATTTACGTATTTTTCGCTCTATAAGACGCACCAGACCACAAGAGGCACCTAGTTTTTGGAGGAGGAAAACAAGAAAAAAAATATTCTGAATCCCAGAAGGCAGAACAGCGAAGGCATTGATCCCTCTTGCTGTTCTGGCTTTTGGGATAGCTGTGCAGCCTGTATTCGCTCCATAAGACGCACAAACATTTCCCCTTACTTTTTACGAGGGAAAAGGTGCGTCTTATAGAGCAAAAAATACAGTATATAGCATTTGATTACTTAAAAAAAAACCCCCACAACCTCACAGCAGTTTACAAAAAAGAATAAAACAACTAAATTACCCGTAAAACACAGTTAAAAACAACAATTAAAAACCTCTGAAAACAGTGTTTCCCAAACTTGGGTCTCCAGCTGCTTTTGGACAACAATCCCCATTATCCCTGGCTAGCAAGACCAGTGGTCAGGAATGATGGGACCCGTAGTCCAAATGCAGCTGGAGAGCCACGTTTGGGAAACACTGCTCTAAAAATAAGTAACATCAACGATAAGCTAAAAACCAGATTAAAGCACAGTGGTACCTCCGGTTACGAACTTAATTTGTTCCGGAGGTCTGTTCTTAAGCTGAAACCGTTCTTAACATGAGGCACACTTTTGCTAATGGTGCCTGCTGTTGCTGGCGCGCGACTTCCGCTCGCATCCTGGGGCAAAGTTTGCAACTAGGGGCATCTACTTCCAGCTTAGCGGAGCTCGTTACCTGAAGCATTCGTAAGGAGGACGGTACGTAACAGGAGGTTCCACTGTACACATATCTGGAAAGGCTTCCCTAATCAAAAATGTTTTAGCAGGCATCTAAAAGAGCACAATGAAGGTACCTGCCAGATGGTAATAGGCAGGGAGTTCCAACTTTCTGGGTGCTGGGAAATGAGAGCAATTACCATGGCTAACCTTTGACCTATGCTCACCCCCCACCAAACCTTCTTGTAGCTACTGAATGCTCGACTAAGGCTCCCTTTCTGTTCTCATGAGGAATAAATGGACCAGGTGCTGCCACCGCTCCTTACGCCAGTCTGACATATACTGCCTGAGGAGGCTGCCTTCTCTGCCTACTGGCAGGACCGGCCTTGAAATGGGCTGCGGTTCTATGTTTGACTTTCGCTGTCCAGCAAACGCAGCCAGGCCGATTCTCTTTTGCTGCTCGCCAAAAGTTGTTCAGCAGTGGCAGGACTTACTTAGTATGTTTTCCATTACTGAAGAAAGTCGTGGAGACAAACTGGTTGGATCTGTTGTAAATTAAATCATTCTCTCTTTTTTTAAAGGAATGGCAAAGTCCGAGACATCCTCCCTCTTTCCTAAAACAAAACTACTAGAGATGGGAAATGACTTACTGTCTGGACCGCGTTTGATCAGAGGGTTGTACAGTTTCTGTCCTGGCTTGATCCTGCTGACTGATTGCTTTAGAACTCGCTCGCCTCAGGGAGAGAAAAGTCAGGAGAAAAACATAATCAAACCAGCTGGAGAAAATAACATATTGAAGCGATAACAGTAGCATAAATCCTATTATACCCAGCTATTAGTTTCTAGAGAATACATACTGGGAGTCCTCAATGCTCCTTGTGATGCTGGAATTTTGTAAATGCATGTCCACTTCAATTCCTGATGTGTAGAGACACTGTGGTTATGAAAGACCAAGCACATCTGCTATTGGGGTCCCTGCAGTGGCGTAGCGTGGGGGGTGCAGGGGGGCCGGCCGCACCGGGCGCAACATCTGGGGGTTAGGGGGCGCAAACCCACGGGTTAGGGGGCGCAAATCCACAGGTTAGGGGGTGCAAATTACTTGCCTTGCCCCGGGTGCTGACAACCCACGCTACGCCACTGGGTCCCTGAATCACAGATTCACACAAAGCAGCAAAACGTCCTTGCAGGTTATTAACAGGATTTTTATTTGAAGTGCATATGCAAAACAAAGGTACAGAGCAATAAGTCTGCAATCTGCACATCCTAGTCAGGGTGTGCCCCCTTTATATAGATTTGCAGAATAGAATACCACCTGATCTCTTGTAAACCGAAAGTTATGGCAACTTCCTATGTCCTTACATGGGCTTGCCCCCCCCCTTTCCTTCCCGCACCAGCCTCTAAAATGGGGCTTTGTCTCCTGCATTACTTACTCCTCCCTTTCAACTCACCTCCTTGTCTTCAGTCTCCCCCTGTCTGGGGCCAGAATGAAACATCCATGTAGCCTTGCTCTTATCTTTCACCCGCCTAAGCCTAGACATTCCAAAGAGAGACCCATTTGCAATGTAACATTTAAGCAAGAAAAGGCCTTGTTCTTCTGGCTGGTGAAAAACCTTTGGAAAAACCTCGCCTTAAACAGTTTGTGGTTTTTTTTGGGGGGGGGATCATATAGAGAACAATATTCTAATGCCCCCCCCTTCAGTTACTCAGTGTAGGAATGGGTAAACCTTTCAAATTTTGGTTTCTCTAAGTTTCTCCTTTTTTCCAGCCTTAAGTTCAGGTCTCTACATTTCCACATTAGTTTGCAATGGTTTGTTTCATGTCCTGATGAAAATTCACCAGCATTTTAATACCAATCTCTCCTAATGTACATATTTGTAGGTGCAATCTCTCCCTATATACACATTTTTGCAAAGCAATGTTCCCTAGTATAATACCTAGGGCTCAGCCTGGATAGCTCAGTTGGTTAGAGGGTGTGCTGATAACGCCAAGGTTGCAGGTTTGATTCCCGTATCAGAGAGCTTTATATTCCTGCATTGCAGGGGGTTGGACTAGATGATCCACGGGGTCCCTTCCAACTCTACAATGCTATGATTTTAGTATGGTTTTTCTGCTCACTATAATATATACATTATGTGCACACCCTGCCCTAGCATGTGCACATTTTTACACATTCTGTGGCTGGAGAATTACACTGCAAAACTGGGAGAAGTGCAAATTTTGGTTCACGGATTGTTTCAGAAAGTTCATGCAGGTTTACCTTGAAATGCAACCTGAATAAAATTTCTTTCCAGCCCTACTAAGGATCCCTTGTACATGTCCATAGGTTCACATATTCCAAAGCATCCTGAATAGGTTCTGGGACTCAGCAGTGCCTCAAACAGAGTCTTAGTTAGAGCCAAAAAGAGCCAGAAAACGACTCCCTTAATATAATGGCATCAGTGCACAGGCTTCTTTATAGAAAACATGGAAAGGGCTTTTTTTGGGGGGGGAGATCCCTGCCTGAAAGTGCTCACTGTCTCGGATCTCAATTTTTGTTGCTCATGTTACTCTCTAAACAGAAGGGGAAACAACAGGATATGGGGGAAATGGAGAGAAATATTTGACCCTCTAGACGAGGGGACAGCAAGGTTTATCTTGCCTGGCTGGATCAGTCCCACGGAGATCCCGGACTGTGCGTGTGTGTGAGTGATTTTCGGCATCTGCGTATGAGCAGACACAATTTTTGGCGATGTGGAAGTGAGTCCCCGCGCTGCGCTGCATAGGTTTAGCGCAGCACGCAAGCGGGCAACTCAGCTTGGGGACAGCTCGTGGGCCAGTCAAACAACCTCTGCGGGCCACTTCCAGCCCATGGGCCTTAGGTTGCTGACCCCTGCTCTAGACCCAACTAGCCATTTAGATTCAATTTAATATTTAAACGTTTTTCCATTCTGTTCTAACCAAAAGTGGCTTATGGCACAAAACAGCGGAAGTACAGTGGTACCTTGGTAGTCGAACGGCTTGGCTCCCGGGCAAATTGGCTCCCAAACGCCACAAACCTGGAAGTGAGTGTTCCTGTTTGCAAACGTTTTTTGGAAGCCGAACTCCAATGTGGCTTCTGATTGGTTTTGAGAGTCGAATGGACTCCCGGAACAGATTACATTGGAGAAAACCAAGGTACCACTGTACGATCTAAGATATTAAAATGACATGTTCAATATAGCCATATATTCCAGCTGCTGCTCCTCTTCCTGTCCCCCACACAGCAGAGTCTCTGAGATGCCAACCCAGATCCTTCAAAGGACCATCCCAAAGTGCTATCCTCCCATGACCTCCACCCAGAGGCAGTACCTGCCCCCCCCCCAGGCACCAGGACTTCACATTTGTGGTGTTATTCTGGCCATGCCTGGCCTGCAAGGGTGACGCTCTGCAGGTGCCAGGGTGGAAAGATTGCCCCATCCCCTGCCCCAGTTCTGCTGCTATCTCTGTTGGTAGAAGCCTTATTGGCCACAGTGCTGGGCAGCCTCACAGCTGTAATAACAGCTGCCAAGTGGAGCTCTCTGCATCCCCACAAACACACACACACACACACACAATAGATGTGCGTGCAAAGGAGAGGCGAGGGGGTGCATGTGAGCATTTGGCAACGTGGTGCAAGAGCAAAATTGTATAGTCTGCGGCAGACCTTTTCCCAATTTTTTTGTGTGCGATACAAGACATTAGGCATTAAGGGGAGGAAGGGAAACAGCTCCCAGACTCTAAAAGGAAGCCAGATGATGATTCGAATGAAAATGAAAAATCCAGAAAGTTAAGAGAGGAAATGACTGGCTGATACAACCTCCCTTTGTGGTTCTGTAGGCTCTGCTTGCTTGTCGCTGCACAGACTTGGCTGAAGCTAAACTCCTCTTCTAATTCCTTCCTGTGGAGGTAGAGCATGGCTTGTTGGCCAAGTCCCTGCCACTGCTTGCCCTTAACTGCAAGGAAGGATGTGATCCCATTGCCAGCACTGAAGAAAGGACTTCGGAGCAGTGTGGTGTAGTGGTTAGGGTCATGGGACTTGTGAGACCAGAGCAGCGGCGTAGCGTGGGTTGTCAGCACCCGGGGCAAGGCAAGTAATTTGCGCCCCCTAACCCGTGGATTTGCGCCCCCTAACCCGTGGATTTGCCCTAACCCCAGATGTTGCGCCCGGTGCGGCCGGCACCCCCTGCACCCCCCACGCTACGCCACTGGACCAGAGGCCAAACCCTCCATCAGCCTCAAAGCTTGCTGAGTGACCTTAGGGCAACCACTATCTCTTCTCTGTGCCTCGCCTACCTCACAGGGTTCTTGGGAGGATAAAATGGAGAAGGAGGAGAACCACCTTGAGCTCCTTGGAGGAAAGGTGAGGTAAAAACGTGATTTGAAAATAATATCATAGATGACCTATTTACTGAGTGTTCATCCTGATTTGATTACACAATAGGTTTTCTTGATAGTGTGAAATGCATCTCACACAATTATTATTATCATCATTTATTAGATTTAGATACCATCCTTCATCACAAGATCTTATGGCAGTTCACAAGATTAAAAGTACAAGGTAAAAGCACAATTAATAGTTAAAACAAAAACAACAAAATAATACTCCCCTCTCACGAACACATTTAAAAGGCTGGTGTTAATCAGCCAAAGGCCTGGTTGAACAGGACCTTTTTTTGCCTGTCACCTAAAGATATATATATATATTAAGATATATAATGAAGGCACCAGATGAATACACTGTCCTTGCATAGCAATGAACCTGAAGTCCCATCTGCATTGTATGTTGAAAGCAATTTAACAGTCATGTCTTGACCCAAAGTGTTCTGGGAGCTGTAGTTTGTTAAGGGTGCTGGGAGTTGTTAAGAGACACCCCCTATTCCCCTCACAGAGCCACAATTCCTAGAGTTCGCTGGGAAGGGGGGTTGCTAAAAACCACTCTGGAAATTGTAGCTGCCAGCACCCTGTACAAACTGCAACTCCCAGGATTCTTTTGGGAAAGCCACGGCGGTTTAAAGTGCCGTCAACGCACAATGTAGCTGGGACCTCTGGTTCATTGCTATGCGGGGGGCAGCGCCTCTGTGCGAGACGCGTTTTCAAAAGAACAAATGTTGGCGGTGCCTGCCGTTGGTGTAGTGGTTCATTTTATGGCAGCCGACCCAGCCTGTGGGGCAAGAGAGCAGCTGGTTTGGGGATTGGAAACAAAAGGTTTTGTGTCTGTTCCCTGTCAAAATTCGGTTTCCACTCGAGTGTGCCAAGCGGCAGCTGTCTGCGCAGGCTGTCGAGCAGAACCTCTTGCAGAGTTGAAACCACGACAAACCCGCCTCCCGCCCCCACTTGAATGCATCCTCTGCTGAGGAAGGCAAGCAAGGTTGTTGGGGCAGGCAGGGGAGGCCAGAAATTCAGCCCACAGAGAAGCAATCGGCCCATCCTATTCCCAGCACAACTCCATCAAGGCCGGTCCTACTGTTAGGCAAAGTGAGGCAACTGCCTTAGGCCGTAGATCTGAGGGTGGGGGCAGCTTTCCTAACCCACCCACCACAGCCATTCCCAAGGGGAAGGCAGGTGTGTGTAAGCAAATGACAAGCAAATCTGTCCGTTTGGGTTTCTCACATTCTCATCCCCCCCCCCCAGTCTTGAGTTCCATTCTCTCCACATCAGTTTTTTTGGTTGGGGGGATTTAAGTCCTCATGGGTAAGTTACAGGGATGTCAACTTGAATAAAATTTTGGGGGGGGCAGGTAAGCCCTGCCCTGAATAATCTATCATGAGACGCAGCACACAAACACCATTTGAATGGCAAATGCCCCCACAAATATTATATGGGGTGGGTGAAGGGACCTTGGCTCCTATGATCTCTCAGCCTAACCCACCTCACAGGATTGCTGTGAGATAAAAATGGAGACGACGAGAACCATGTATTTTCGAGCTCCTTAGGTGGCATATAAATGTGACAAGTAAGTAAGTATGTAAATAAAGTATAAAGAAATTGAAAATAATTTAATAGTGTGTGTCCCCCTTACATTTAGGCTGTGCATACACAATACATTTAAAGCCCCCCCCCTCAAAGAACCCCAGGAACTGTAATTCGCTAAGGGTACTGGGAATTATAGATCCATGAGTGGCAAACTACAATTCCCAGGATTCATTGGGGGGGGGCTTTAAATATATGTTGAGGTGACCAAGGAGTACCTTTTATTGGTCTGCACTCCACAGCCTTCCCAGGTGTTTCCTGAAAATCCCATGGCATCCTGGGCTGGGAATTCCTACTCCCTGCTGGGCACCTCTTTTTGTTTTCAAGTAACACATTTACTTTTTCACTTTTGAAGAAATCCCTGCAGAATTTTATTTTAAGGTACAAGGAAGGATTTTCCTTAAAAGCAAGGTCTGCAAGCACACCAACCTCTGGCCCTCAGCAAATGTCTCCCTGGCCTCCTGTGCAACTGTTTGCCCCCTGAGGCAACTCCTCCATTGGGGCTTTTTCAGATCAAGAAGCAGAGGCAGCCAGGGAGGCTGCAAAGTGTGAGGGAAATGTTTACTGGGAAGAAAAACACATGCCATCCTTGGCCACCTGCAGGGCCAGGCCACTTTGCCACTTGAGGCAAAACAGAAAATGGCACCTCTGACGCTGCTGCTTCCTCCCTCCACCCCCTGCCGCACTTCCATTGCTGCCTTAGGCAAGTGGAGACGGCCAGGGGAAGCCCTGGCATGTTGAAGGAGGTGGGGCAGATACAGGAAGGAGCAAGCGGGGTAGCAGCAAAGGAGGCAGAGAGCAGCATGCTCCTTGGGGGCTGGATCTGCCACAACTCCCAACTGTCCCCAGCCTGCTACTGAGGTGACTGCCTCATGGGCAGGTCAGCCTGGTCGCCTGGCAACATTAAGGTAAGCTCTATACCTCACAGCCACCAAAGTTATAAAGGACTTCTCAAATGCCCTGCTAATGAGATGCAAAAAAAAACAGAAGCATCATTCGTTCAGGAAATTTGAGAGCAAGTTTTGGCCCAGCGCAATTCTCGGTGGACCTTTAGTCTGACCCAACAGAGCTTTTTTCTGATGGTCCTTCCAGGGCATGCAAATGCTGCATGAAGAAGACCATTCTTAGACCTGGATAGCTAAAACAAAACAAAATAATAAAAATTTCATCTTTGATGCTCACCGAAAATGCCTGCCACTCCGAGAAGGATGAAGGAAGCCAGGAGGCATCGCTGTGTTGCAGCCATCCTCCAGGGACAGAACTGGTTCCTCGTGGGGATCTGAGTCCCAGTCAGATTGGATGCATTCAGGTGGTGCCCCTCTGGTCTGAGTGGATGTTTAATCTTCCTGCATGGAACAACTGGTGGAAAAGGAGGACATGTCTATCAACAGGAGCCTGACCTTGAGACTCTTGAGACTTTGCAGGGATCTGCTTGGCCACTGAAAAAACAGGAGGCTGGACTAGATGGGCCATTGGCCCAATCCAACAGGCCCTTCTTACATTCCGACAAAGTTAATAGATGCGATTAATATGGGTAAATTCATCTCAGTGGGTCTACTCTGATTAGAATTTAGTTGGATACAGCTGTGATGGGTAAACGCCCCGGAAAGCGTGGGATATGAATGGAAGGATTAACGGGAAGACGTATAAACACTCCACCCACAAATAAGGATGAACGGAGGGTGATTGCCACACGTCGTATAACCGCACCCCCAAAAAAACAAATTAGAGTGAAAGCTCAATAAAGACCAAAGTCTAACCTCCATGTAAGCTTTGTGTAAGCAAATCTGGATGAATGCTCAATAAACAGGGCTTCTTATGGAGCACCCGGGGAAAAACCACCCGTGCCCTCTTAGGCTGTTTTCTTGGGACAGTGACGTCATCACCAGAGAGGGTCTGTTCCCCGAGCATCTTGGCCGGGGAGGACGCAGCAGACTGCACTTTTAGGAAGCTGGCTTTCCCTGCTCTAACTTATTGGAAAATCGAGTGGATGTTTCCCCTCTCCACCCCCCGCCCTGAAACTCCTGGCATAACTTCTCAAGTATAACAAGAGGGAAGCGTGTAGCAGAGGCAGTATTCATATCTGTCTATCCACTTAAGCTTCCACACTAAATCTGTTCTGCAGATGATGGCTTCTTGCAATCTCATTGGAGGCCCCCTTTTAAAAGGATTAAACGCCCCCAGAACCGAAATGATTCAAGAATGCTGAAATAACGGAGCTTGGCCACGGCATATCCATCCTGTAACACAATCCTCCCTCCTGAGATTGGAACATCCTCCGAGACATATGCTAAGGAAAATAAATATCCTTGTTATAGCCAGTTTCGCTCGCAAATCAGATAGGAATGTAGCCAGAAATGATGAGGAAGTGTAAACCCTTTCCCTAGGGCCCTCAGACACAGATGTGTACATGCACATGCTACATGTTTTGATTTGCACTGAGAGAATATACAAATTATTTTACAAGTTTCTAGTCCTGTTGGTGTTAGGATTTTTTTACAAAAATAAAATGTCTGTTAAACGGTAAAGGGACCCCTGACCATTAGGTCCAGTTGTGGCTGACTCTGGGGTTGCGGCGCTCATCTTGCTTTATTGGCCGAGGGAGCTGGCGTACAACTTCCGGGTCATGTGGCCAGCATGACTAAGCCGCTTCTGGCGAACCAGAGCAGCACATGGAAACGCCATTTACCTTCCTGCTGGAGCGGTACCTATTTATCTACTTGCACTTTGATGTGCTTTCGAACTGCTAAGTTGGCAGGAGCAGGGACCCAGCAATGGGAGCTCACCCCGTCGCAGGGATTTGAACTGCTGACCTTCTGATCAGCAAGCCCTAGGCTCTGTGGTTTAATCCATAGCGCCACCCACGTCCCTAAAATGTCTGTTACTAAGTACTGAATCCTCTTCCAGCCGAACAAAATAGAATATGAGATTGTCCAAGCAGCTAGGCAAGGAAGGAGTCTAGCAGGAACTGAATTCCTAACCCCCAGCCATTGAGATTCCTACTGAAACTCCACTGTGGAGAGTTTCACTAGCACTGCCCTCATGTCTTCAAGCCTATCATGATGTTCACAAGGTCTAGAAACTTTGATATTTTAAAACTGATGTTATAAGGAGTTTTAATACTGTGTCTAATGCCATGTCAGGAGTTGTGTGCATTTGCAGGGAATCCCTATGCAGAATGCAACCCGTCCTGGTAGAATCCTTGCAACAGGCAACACATTAAGCTTAGGGTTATAATAAAACCTTGCTCAAATCCAACCTTTGGTCAGGTTTTCAAAAATTCAAATCCAAAGTTAGAAATACGTCTTAGGGGCACTTTGGAAAATGCTTCTTGCCATTTGTTTATTTATCTGTTTAAAAGATCTCTATCTCACTCTTCATTAAAATAATCCCAGAGCAGTGTGCAATATAATCAAAAGTGTATAAACCAGCGAAACGTTCAAAAATCGTTTGCTGACCTGGTGCCCCAACCAACATTCTAAGGCAAAACATTTGGAGGAGTCCAGGTGGGAGACAGCTGAGTTAAAGCATCCTCACCAACAATGCAAGTCACAAAAGACCTCAGCCATAAAACTGTCCCAAAGGAAACGGAACATTACAAACTTCTTGATGTTCTTAATTCTTGTAAATAAGCTGAACTTTCCAGCATCGCCACGTGGTTAGGGCTGGGTGACTGTATCAATTTCACCTTTTTCTCAGTTTCTCATTTTCTTGATTTTAAGTACAGTTCTGCACATTTCCACGTTAGTTTGTGATTAATGGGGAAAAAAGGTTCTCATGAAATTCATCAGTGTTTTTGCAAAGCAATTTTCTCTGACATACTGCATTGTTGTATGTTATTTTCACTAGCGCAATTATATGCACACTTTACCTAAGTCTACATATTTTTGTACATGTTACTTGGCTAGAGGACAACATTGCAAATTTCAGAGAAGTGCAAATTTCGAAGGATGCCCGTGTTTACATTCTCGTATTGTTTCGGAAAGAGTGAATCAGATAGGTTTGACAAGCATAAATTTGAATTTCTCCCCCAAATCCCTACATGCATCACCCTGTGTTTTTTAGAAATCTTGAAATAGAACATCATATATAATTGGGAACACTTCCAGACAGCCTAAGTATTCGTCTTGATTTGTTTGCACTAAGTTTGTGGGTAGGTTATATGACTTTGGGTCAAGCAATTGTCATCCCATACATTCCAATGCATTTCACCATCACTTTGGGGGCACAGCAGGTTTTGTTACGCAAGAGCTCTGGATCAGCTTTAACTGCAACCACCCAAATTTGCTGGTATGTGATTAAATCTCACCCGAAAATAATGACAGCCTGGAAGGACCTTGTTTTGTTGCAAACAGATGAAATGGAGGAGAATATGCTATTGCAATTGCCTCCCACACATCTCCTTCAGATCCCTCTGAAGTAAATATGTTTGTGGGGGAATCCATCTGAAGCCAAAAGAAGGTCTGTCCAAGATGTAAACAAAACAGAGTTTAGACGGTTGAATGAAAAAATTCTTTCTTTCTTTCTTTCTTTCTTTCTTTCTTTCTTTCTTTCTTTCTTTCTTTCTTTCTTTCTTTTTAAAACTCTTGTTCACATTTGCCAATACATTTCATTTTAATGCAATTAAATAAAGCCTGAACTTTTTTTGGTTTTGGTTTTTTTTGCAGGGGGGGGGTGGGAATCATCCATTCCAAGCAAAGCAAAAGGACTTCATATCAGAGACTTAGGCACATCCATCCATTTCTCCGCCAGATGAGAAGCTCTTCATGCTGCCTGGATCACAGCGGTGGCTCTTTATTGAACATCTTTGAAAATTAACGCTCCCCTCCTTTTTCAAATTCTGAATGTTGAGTGATAGCTGGAGAAAATTCGGGAGGAATTTATCCAAGTCCTGAATTCTCTGACCTAATGGTGTGAATAAATTAGGGACAACCTGTCCTAAATCAGAGGTTCTGTCCTGGCGGGTGTGGTCCCTTCAACTTTCCCAGTCATTGCATCGTGATGAACCTGCCTTGCAAATCCACTGTTTTCACACTGCAGAACAATTTGTCCTCTGCTCCTCTGACACAACTGCCTCTTATAAGCTTCTAACTTGCTACTTAACCAAGCATTCAACAGTTCCATGGTTAAAAACAACAACACATTTTATGTGTTTAGGATATATATAACCCGTTCTTAAAGAAACTTCCCACTTATCAAGATAAATTAAAGCACAGTCTAAATCAAGCGAGCAGCAATAAAATTTTTGTTCCTACCCCTGCCTCTATTTCTTCATGTTGTATGTAAGTGGTTTTTGCATATAACAGCATATAAAGTCAACCTCACACCATTTTTAAAAATGGACTTAATGATGGAGAAGCTCAGATTTAGTTCTGCCTAGTCAAGCTCTAAGAAGTTTGAGATGCTAAGAGAAATAAGTGTTGCAGCTTACCCCAGGCTCCCAGTTCTTTGCGCCTTCTGGACTCCTGTCTAAATACATCCGCTCTGAGTGTTTTCCAACTGCTGGGGTCTCTTATATAGCCTTGTGTAGAGCTTAGGGGGTGGCATTGAGCCACACAGATGGAAAACCTGCTCTGACAGCAAGGAAACCAGAGACTTTTAAAATCCCTTTAAAGGAGGAGATGCAAACTTTTTCTGGACGATCAGAAAAAAATGTAACGGCCAGCAGGCTAAGTGGCAGTGCTCTGGAACACACTCATGTATTGAATAACTTGTAAAATCACCTTATTCTGAGGTCCTAGTTCTGAACCACTGGGATCAGTGGGGCCAGCTGCAAAGGGTGGTACGTTTGGGCATTTGCTGGGGGCCCCAAGCCCATCGCCCCAATGGTGCTGCCCTCAAGTCTTATGGAGCACCCCAAAATGTCAGCATCAACATGAGACAGTTGGGTTTGCACACCCTCTTTCTTTCAGGTCATTTTCCCCCACCCACAGATGGAAAATGCACCCCAAAAGTCTGCACCACATTTTGCATTCGTGGCAGAGATTTAGCACTTAGCCTGCAGTCAAATGTTTTATAAAAATTAGAAATCTCTCTGTTCAACTGCAAAGCTTTTCTGTTTGTTTGTTTGTTTCTATTCTATTCTATTCTATTCTATTCTATTCTATTCTATTCTATTCTATTCTATTCTATTCTATTCTATTGAATAGCTCAGAGTTAAGCATCCAGGACTTCTGTTTCTCTTTTCCTGCATATTCTATCACCTGTACATGTTTGCAAAAATTATTTTCATCAGGATCACTCCTAGGAATGGGTAAGGAATTTATTCAGGCAACTTTTCACAGCAATCCAGTGCTCCCAAAGCTGCCTACGTTAGTTGTGTTCATTCATTTTAATAGGTCTATTTTGAGTAGGATTAGAATTGGGTACAACCTTTTCTGTGCACAGAAAATGCATATTTTATGAATGAATGCACTGGAAAGCATCAAAACATTTCTTTTCTACATTTTGAGCATGTATTTTGTGCAAAAGTGCACACAAAGTGCATACTATTCAAATGTGGGCTTTCCACTAGTCATTGTTTTACCCCAGGTTGCTAGCATCCATCTGTCTTGAGAGACAATGGAGTGTGCTACTGGGGGTGAAGCCAAACGACTGTACAGTGGTACCTTGGGTTAAGAACTTAATTTGTTCCAGAGGTCCGTTCTTAACCTGAAACTGTTCTTAACCTGAAGCACCACTTTAGCTAATGGGGCCTCCTGCTGCCCCCGCGCCGCCGGAGCACGATTTCTGTTCTCATCCTGAAGCAAAGTTCTTAACCCGAGGTACTATTTCTGGGTTAGTGGAGACTGTAACCTGAAGCGTCTGTAACCTGAGGTACCACTGTATTAGCAGCACCAAAGCCCGAGCCATGTATATGGAGGCCCTGGGTTGCCCAGATGACACGACCCCCCTCTTGGCCTTGCTGGTGTTGTCCAAAGGAAAGCAGAGCAATATGTTCAGCACCAGCTTGTCTGCAGGAGTTGCCAGAAGGAGGCAAACAAGGCGCCAGCCAAACGTCTTAGGGACTCTACTCCAGAGGGTTTACTCCTTAGACTTTTCTTCTCCTGAAGATATCCCACAAGGCAGTGGAGATTTAGAACCAGAGTTCTCCTTCTCCTAGGTGGGCTACCTTTCCAGGCTGACAAGCCCCATTTGCCCCTGACTTCCATCTACAGCAGGGGTAGTCAACCTTTTTATACCTACCACCCACTAATGCATCTTTCTTGACGGTAAATTTCCTTACCGCCCACCGGTGCTTGATTGAAGGAGGATTCAGCTTGTGCCGTAGAACCCCCTACCGCCCACCTAGAATCCTGAAATGCCCACTAGTGGGCGGTAGGGACCAGGTTGACAACCCCCGATCTATAGCAAGTGCCGAAACTGCCTTCTTGACCGTTGGACCCACTATTGGTCTTGTCTACTCAGTCTGCCAGAGCTTGTCTTCACATGCATGGGAAGTCCCTAACTCACTGAGGATTTCATAGAATCATAGAATCATAGAGTTGGAAGAGACCACAAGGGCCATCGAGTCCAACCCCCTGCCAAGCAGGAAACACCATCAGAGCACTCCTGACATATGGTTGTCAAGCCTCTGCATAAAGACCTCCAAAGAAGGAGACTCCACCACACTCCTTGGCAGCAAATTCCACTGTCGAACAGCTCTTACTGTCAGGAAGTTATTCCTAATGTTTGGTGGAATCTTCTTTCTTGTAGTTTGGATCCATTGCTCCGTGTCCGCTTCTCTGGAGCAGCAGAAAACAACCTTTCTCCCTCCTCTATATGACATCCTTTTATATATTTGAACATGGCTATCACATCACCCCTTAACCTCCTCTTCTCCAGGCTAAACATGCCCAGCTCCCTTAGCCGTTCCTCATAAGGCATCATTTCCAGGCCTTTGACCATTTTGGTTGCCCTCTTCTGGACATTTTGGTTGCCCTCCTCTGGAGGTTAGCTGATTTGAGACCCATCAGCTACCCTCACCTAATTTAGCTGGCCAGTTGAAACCATTCCCAGGGCGTGGCCGCTGTCGCATGCTGCCAGCTTCTAGGATAAACACACGAGACGTAACCAGCTGTGTTCTTAGAGAAATAAGGTATACAGTGGTACCTCTGGTTACATAATTCGTTCCAGAGGTCTGTTCTTAACCTGAAACTGTTCTTAACCTGAAGCACCACTTTAGCTAATGGGGCCTCCCACTGCTGCCACGCCACCGGAGCACGATTTCTGTTCTCATCCTGAAGCAAAGTTCTTAACCTGAGGTACTATTTCTGGGTTAGCAGAGTCTGTAACCTGAAGCGTCTGTAACCTGCAGCGTATGTAACCCGAAGTACCACTGTACTATTCATTGTATCAAATTTCAACAGAAGTAGCTCATAAAGTTCAACAAACGAACAAAGCAGAAGATCCAGTGGATCAGATCATTCTCTAGTCAGTTCATGCATAAGGTCCATCCATGTAATGCTGTCCATTCCATTTGATACAATGATAGTATACCTTATTTATCTAAGAACACAGCCGGTTATGTCTCGTGTGTTTATTGAGGATGCTTTACGTGACCACAGGTTTGTTTATTGTTGTTTTACCAGCTTCTGGGAGCCACAGGTGAGAGCTGAGTGCTGGGTGAAGACCAAAGGTAGACAAACTACCCCAGAAAGAGCATGACGTGTCCCCCACCAGAGTTACTACCCCTCCCCTAACACACACACACCCCAGATTTTCCAGGTACGCATCTGAATTTGAGCAGAAGGTTGAAAACAGGAGTTTGGAAGGCTTGTAGGATTCAGGGCTACCCCTGTCTAGGGCCTTCCCAGCTCTGCTGTGCGATGGGGCCAAGGGAAAGAGAGAGAAATGTTTGCAAAGTTGTCACTGAAATAAATAACCGGCCTCTGATTGCACCGGGTTCAATTTATGTTTGCACAGTAAAAGAACAAAAACAGATGAGATCACTAAAGGTTACTGCAATAACATAAAAGGTGGCGGGGGGAGATTGTTTTTGCCTCCTTTGCATTACAGTGGACTCTTGTTGCCGGAGAGCAGTTTGTTTACTGGCCCATGCACAGGAAATTACAAGAAGACAAACGTATTTTATACAACTGTCTAACTAAAAAGTGCCTCTAAGCAATAGCAAAGGCAGATGTGTTCTGCTCAGGCTCTGCGTCTCAAACATTTTGAATTCCACTAAAGAATGGGCGGATCTGTCAATTTCAGTTTCTGTCTCAGGTCATACCCACACCAGACATTTAAAGCACATTTAAGGCACATGGGGAACACCATCAGAGAGCACTTACAAACTATAGCTTCCAGGATCCTTTGGGGATGAAAGTGCATTCACTGTTTGGTGTGAATGTGGCCCACAATTCTCTTCTTAAGTTCAGTTATCCACATTTCCAGATAAGTTTGCGGTTGTTTTCTTTTTAAGTCTTTGTGAAAGTTTATCAGAATTGTGATTTTTTTCCTTTAATACCCATATATTGGTATGCATTTTTTACTGATAAACACATTTTTGCGAAGCACTTTCCCCTAATATGTTTGTATGCTTATTTCATTATTATTATTATTTTCATTTTTAGGCACACGTCACTCTGGCATATGCATTTTTATACAGTGGTACCTCGGGTTAAGTACTTAATTCATTCCGGAGGTCTGTTCTTAACCTGAAGCACCACTTTAGCTAATGGGGCCTCCTGCTGCTGCTGCCGCCATGCTGCCGGAGCACAATTTCTGTTCTTATCCTGAAGCAAAGTTCTTAACCTGAAGCACTATTTCTGGGTTAGCTGAGTCTGTAACCTGAAGCATACGTAACCTGAAGCGTATGTAACCTGAGGTACCACTGTACACATTATTTGGCTGGAGGAGTGTATTGCAAAAGTCAAGAAGTGTGGATTTCAAAAAGGATGGCTGTGTTTTGATAAAATGTTACCTTTCGACAAAAAGGCAGAATTTGTGTTTGTTACCATACCTTTCCTTTGCCTCTGGTCCCACCCATCACCAGTGGGTGGCCCTCAGAAGGCTGTCAAGGAAGGAATGTGGCCCTCAAACTGGAAAAGGTTCTGCAACTGTCCTGGACACTTTTCATCTCCAGATCCCGAAATGCCCCACCTGTGGCTTCCTGTGTTTTAAATCCATGTTAAGGCCAGAGCCACAGAAGCCAGCTGTGGCAGGCTTGTTTCCTACCCATTTGGCTGGTATATTCATCTTGCTTCTTCTCTCTCTCTTTTTTGCTCCACATGAAATAATAGGTTGCGCCAATGGGGCTGCAACCTGAACATAAACAGTTCTGTCATGCGGAAGTGCGCATGACGAGCTCTTGGCCCTGCAAAGAGAACATTTCTTCCCGAGCAAAATTGAATTAAGGCTGCTTTGCTCTGCTATGGAAGGCGCCCAGGCTGTTGTTGCATGTGAGGGGCGCAGAGATTATTAGCGAAATGAAATCTGATTACTTGAGGAGTGCCGTGTGCCAGAAGGTCCCAGGTTTTGACACACCCGATCCAAAACCAGCCTGTGGCTGATTTTCTGCTTTGGAAGAGGTGGCAGCGTGAGTCACGCCATGGTCA